AACATATAAACGCATATCCAACAGCGTCTATAAATTCATTGACCACACACCACCCCTGTCCCCAACACACATCGACTTTAGAAAAAATAGTTCTTTTCCCGGTTAATTCTCCTTTCTTAGCAGACTGTGGCTAGTGTTCTGTAGGGACATTTCTATGTCACCCACTGAGTATAGGGGACATGTTGCTGGGCCCTCAAGGAAGCAAGTGAAGTAAATAACTTTTTGCTAAGTGACTGACCTCGAGGAAACTGCATTTAGAAGCAGAGACATCCTCAGGTTCCTAACAGGAAACCACCAGGATGCAAAAAGATCTGGCGAGGAAAATGCCAGAGGGAGGAACCATTACTCAAGGTAATCAAGTAACCCATAATCTGTGTTCTCTCTTGCTTTGACACCATCATCTAAAACTTACAATGTTAGAAATAGATGAGGTAAGAGTGTTTCTTTTGGAATAATATGATAGCATTAGCATTAAGCTAGGGAAGAGCTTAGAATTTCTAGACACGTTGCAACACCTAAAAGGGAATTTAGCAAGAGTCTGTGTTATTTGGTAATATGTGTAGACTGTCATTAAGGATAATTCATGTTCATAGTGCTATAAAAGGCTACTTGAAGGTTTAACAGCTCACTTTTCAGATCCCAGACAAAATTAATTTAATATAACATTGAACTCTGTCCTCTTTGCTATAGCCATTGGTATCTGAATCATGGGATGCAGTGATATCACCCAGTGTTCCGGAACATTTAATTTCAGCTCTTAGCTTTTATCTTCACAAATTTTCCTACATACTGATGCATCACTTTTGCCTATATTAATTTATAAGTACCATACTACTAAGAATTTAATTTGACTGAAACATTTAGTCAGTAGTCATTTAATCACATGGGCATCTTTCCCCCAAGCTTAGAAGTATGTAGTCATCCATTGTGAAATGATTTCCCAACTGGACTTAGAGAAGTTCCTGATCAGTCTTTCTCTCGCTAAGTGCTTGATAAGTATTCAGTTTAGACTTTAGCATTTGTGGATTTCTTACTTTCTAATAATTTCTCTGAAATTGGCCACTTAAAAATTTAAGGCAATAATAATGCTGGTAGTACAAACTAACATTAACATAATGGAAAAATATTTCAGCTGAATAATGACAATGATTAACTTTATTGATTTCAGTTAGTGATTAATATAATTAAGGATCATCTGGGAAACTACACTGAAAATGTTTGACTTAGCTAACATTAATGGAAATACATTAAACTCAGTTTGTTGTTAAACCACCAAAGACTTGTCTTTGAAAAGGAGAGATGTATGTTTTGCTTTTAAAATTATAAGCTTGAAGACATTTTAGCGTAGATTTCATGCTAGCTGAATGCGGACTTTGTTTCTAAAATTAGTCTCTAAATGAGAAAGTAAAAATAAGAACTATTGACTCAGAAGTCAACAGGTGCCGGGGATGTAGCCCAGCAGTACAGCACCTGCCTGGCAAGAGTGAGGTCCAGAGTTTGATTGTTGGTACCCACCAAAAAAACTCAACAAATAGGAATTTAGTACCTCATCTTTGCCGATGGCTGGCTTTCATGAATTCTGGTCACTGGTTCATTGTGTCCATTCCGGGATGGAGCTGATAATCTGAGGGGATGCCCTACTAGAAAGAGCTTCTCTGGATGGCCCGCCTCTCATGGTGCCTCCTCCTCTGCCAGGGCACAAAGAGCGCAGCGTGCCGAGGAGTAACCAGGCCTGGGGATGGACCCATGCTGATGTGGACAGGTTTGCTGTGCTGTATGACCTGTGGACTTGGGAAGCAACTCTTCTAGAAAACAAACACCAGGTATTTTTTTCTACAGACAACTGTTAAAAGTCATTTTCGGCTGGGGATATAGCTCAGTGGCCTAAGCCCCTGCCTGGCAAGTGCAAGGTCCTGAGTTTGATTCCCAGTACTAAAAAAAAAAAAGTGTCACTTGGCCGGGCACAGTGGCACATGCCTGTAATCCCAGCACTTGGGAGGCTGAGGCAGGAGAATCGTTGCAAGTTCAAGACCCGCCTGGGCTACAAAGTGAGCTCAAGGTCAGCCTGAACTGTACAGTGAGACCCTGTCTCAAAAAGACCAAAAAAAAAAGTCATTCTTATAAAACTTGGTAATTTTCCTTCTTTCCTTCTTTCCCTCCCTCCCTTCCTCCTTCTCTTTCTCTTTCTCTCTCATTTTTTCTTTCTTTCTTTCTTTCTTTCTTTCTTTCTTTCTTTCTTTCTTTCTTTCTTTCACTCAGTGGGACTTTTAGGGAAACTCAATAGAGCAAGTAATATTGTATGCAAATAGTCTAAGCTAAGTAGAGTATAAGCATGTCATGAATTGGTTTCCTTTACTGTGGTTCTTTGTCACAAAAAATGTGAAGGATAGTGCTTTACCCTGCTTGCGAATTTGTCAGAGGACTTGATGACTTAGGCGTTTCTTATCCTACCGTACCCTTAGCGAGGATGGACAGTGCTTCCCCTCACACGCGTTATCTAGTCATAGGGATGAGTTTCGCTTTGCTAAACACACGCCTACTGACTCGCTCATGGCCTTTAAAACCACGACACTCAACACCGGTGAAAGCAGCTGATCAAGGAGTGTTGCGTGCAGTGCTGCAGGCTGAGCTGAAAGCAATGAGACAGCAGTGGGGAAGTCACACCCATGTCGGTACTGGCTCATATCTCAGCAATAAACGCAGCGCTGTTGGTGTGATGCTCTTTATTTGCATCTTTAGTGAGCATTATCCGCCCTCTTCATAATCACCGGTTGTTGGAAGCTTATGCATCAAAACTTTGAGCACTCTGAGGCGCTGTTCCAGGCATTAAGGACACAGAAACAGGAGCTGATCTCTGCCTTCTGGGAATTTATAGTCTATAAAAATTGATTCAACGTTTAAGCAAAAAGTATAACCCAGTGGTGAGGAACAGTCGGAAGCCATGGGGACCCTGGAGGGAGAGATTTATCTTGGCCAGGGGAGCTGTTAGAGTGGAGAGAGTGCTAAGGAGTCTTAGAAAATAGGCACTTAATCATGTTATTAAAAGCGTGAGATTCCACAGAGCAGAGAAAAGAAAAGATTCTTGAGCAGAAGAGACATCATTTACAGTGCCACAGAGAACTCACAAGGGAGTGGCCATTGAGAATCTTAAGTGGATGGCTGCAGCTAGGACCTAAGGCATGAAAGAAAAGGATCTAAACATGTATTTGGGGTTTAGAATATAAAAGGTGTGTGCCTCATGCTGTTTCAGGGTTTATCCTATAAACAAAGAAGAGCCATTGGTGAATTTCCATGGATAAAAAACATGACTGTAGCTCTGTTTCCAGCTGCCTTGGTGTCAGAGTGCAGAATACATTGGAATAGAAAGCCCCAGGGATGTCGGGCGTGGTGGCGCACACCTGTAATCCCAGCACTCAGGAGGCTGAGGCAGGAGGATTGTTGGAAGTTTGAGACCAGCCTGGGCTACAAAGTGAGCTCAAGGGCAGCCTGATTTGCATAGCGAGACCCTGTCTCAAAAAAGATGAAAAGAAAAAGAGAAAAGAAAGCCCCCAGGAAAAGGAAGCGCAGTTATTGCAAGAGTGGCCTGAAGAGATGGGGGAAGCTTATATTAAGGATGTGTCAGTGAGAAGAGGAGAGAGGGGAGACTTCAGAGTACCCTGAAGGGTCTGAAGACCAGATCTGGGTGTTGGAGTGAGACAGTGAGGGTGGATTTCACAGCTTTCCCTCGGGGTCACGAAGGAGGCCATTCACTGAAGCAGATGCAGGAGGAAAGAAGATACTCCTGACTGTAGGACACAAGGCCTTTGAGGGGCGTTGTTAAAAGCCAGGGGTAAGTGCTGTGCTCCGGAGCAGGTGTGAGCTGAGAGGTCAGTGTGGGAGTAGAACCACAGTAATGGCCAAAACGAGTGGAAAAAGTCCGAGGGGTCTGAGCCGGTCCCTCGAAACACCTGCCCTTGAGCAGCAGCCCACAGAACTAAAAAGAGCCTGGAAGTAGCCGGGAGAAAGCCAGGGACACAGCGCTGTGAGAGGCACAGGAGGGCTTCACTAAGGAGAGCAGGGTGCCAGTGTGAAGCACGGTGGAACGTGAGCCATGACCCCTGAAAGCTCAGCAGTGGGGACAGCACTCAGGCCGGCAGGGCAGCTGGGCTCCTTCCGGGGCGCTGCGGGGGCGGGCCGAGGTATGAAAGAAAAGGATCTAAACATGTATTTGGGGTTTAGAATATAAAAGCTGTGTGCCTCAGGCTATTTTAGGGTTTATCCTGTAAACAAAGAGCCATTGGTGAATTTCCATGGATAAAAAACACTGCGCCGTGGTGTGGTCCGAAGATGAGGAAGTGGAGACGGTTTTCTTCTAATTGTTTTTCCGGGTAGAACGGATGCTTTGCCATTTCATCTCCTCTCTGGTCTGTTACTCATGGAGATAAGCAGATTGTTTTAAACAGCTGCCTCGGTTTAAAAAGGTGCAAGGCTTAGGCTTTGAAAAACTGTTCCTCTTTTCAAAAATAACTGGTTTCTACCGGCTTGTCTGCAACCTTGACCTGCCAATTACAACTTTACTTTAATCAAGTAAATAAATGAGGGATTTAGACTCAGTGTAATACTTGGAAAATCTGTATTAAAGGTAAACAAGACAAATTCCTAAACTTAGAAAGTTTATTTGGTCCAGGCATGAGTTTTAAACAACCCCTCTTTCTTGTACTTTCTCTGCCCACCTTCCCTTTAATGTCTGTATGTCTCCTGTGGAGTCCCCAGACAGAACTCAGTGGTAGCCAGGTGTGGTGGTGCACACCCATAATCCCAGCACTCAGGAGGCTGAGACAGGAGGATCACTTTGAGTTCAAGGTCAGCCTGGGCTACATAGTGAACTCAAGACCATTCTGAACTACACAGAGAGGCCCTGTCTCAAAAAAAGGAAAAAGAGAGAGACAGAGAGAGACAGAGAGAGACAGAGAGAAAGAGAGAGAGACAGAGAGAGAGAGAAAGAGAAAGAAAGAAAGAAAGAAAGAAAGAAAGAAAGAAAGAAAGGAAAAGAAAGGAAAAGAAAGAAAGAAAGAAAGAAAGAAAGAAAGAAAGAAAGAAAGAAAGAAAGAAAGAAAGAAAAAGAAAAGACAGACTAAGACACACACCAATTTCTCCAAACTTTAACCTACAGTTCATTCTAAGCTAAACTATCAGGACTGTTCACTGTTCCTTCTAGGGCAATATAAACTATTTTAATTTAAAACAATTGTTGAAAATATCTCCCTCCTTTCTATCCTGAGAATAAGTTCCCTATAGAAACTGAGCTGTCTCTGCCAAAAGTGTAAAATATGGCTTTCCAAGTTAGAAATTCTGTCAAAAGAGCCTGTTTTTAAGAGCTAAGCCAGATTTCTAGCTAAAGTACAACTGATTTCCCCTGACACTGAGTCCGTTGCCAGCTTTGCTCAGCTGTGTCTGATTGTTAAATATATTGGTATCACTACTCAGGAATTGTTTGAACATATTGCGTTCTTTTAAATCATTAAAATAACCATATGACATACGAAGATTCATAAAATTAGAACTGGTGTTAAGTTGAGTGGATTAAATGACTCAGAGAAGCCAGGTATCTGCTGTACCAGCTCCCGGGTGATACTGTACTGTCTGCTAATTCTCCACCAAAAGGCACACTTACAGCAGAATTTAAGTGAGGATACATGGCACTAGAAGTATTTTCATGTATCCCTTTGAAAAGAAAAAAGTTCTATGACTAGTTGTGCATAGCATTGATTTCCTGTTTTGTACTTTCATTAGACCTAAAACACCATTTTAAAACATTTTAAAATCCCCCAAATAGAAAAATGTTTGCAATAAAAACAATATAAATGCAGTAATGTTTGAAATTATTTGCTTTGTCTACTTTCCCGTTTCTCCAGTGTTGTTCTACCTACCATCAGTGTATGAAGCATATTATTTTGCCTGAGAGTTGGCCCTTGACACACACAGGTGACATTTGACAGCCTAGAAAGACTTCTTAGGCAAATACTAGCCCAGAGTTTAAGTGGAAATGGGCCAGTTAGCAAATAGATAATAAATAGAACCTGTGAGACAGAAATCTCATGTCCCGTTGTTGTGGGGAATGAATTCATAATAAAATCATACAAGGGCCCATGTGAGAACTTTTCGAGGTTGAACACCAAGCTTAAAAAAAGCCTTATCAATTTAAAAAGAGAGCCACATTTGCTTCTTGACAGTGAAGGTTACCAGATAAAATTTTGCAATATTTGGGACATACTATACTGAAAATGTATTTGTTATTTATCTGAAATTCAGATTGGACTGGATGTCCTATATTTTTATTGGCCAAATCTGACAACCCGATCAACAGTCCTGGCCATGCCATTTAGCGCAAACTTCTGCAACCTGCCGCCACCAGATTGGGGCCATTTGCACGCTCCCTACAAACCTCCCCTGCCAGATAACCAAACAAGCAGGCTCTTTGTCCAAAAACAGGTCAAGGAAGTGTAAATAGGTACACCAGCTCCTGGGCTTGCCCCTGCCGGGACAAAAGGGCCCAAGTTGGTCCCTAATGAATTAGGCAAATAATTGTTTCATTCCTAATTCCCTCCTGGGGCTACTAAATGACACCCTTCTTATCCCTTCTACTCATTTCTCCTTCTTCCTGTTTACCTTTGGCTATTTAATAATCAAATATTATTCTAGGGTGGGGCTCTGGTGAATGGAACAAAGTAATTTTTTTTTTTTTTTTTTTTGTATCGGGAATCAAACTCAAGACCTTGTGCTTGCCAGGCAGGCGCTGTGCCGCTGAGCTCTCCCTGGCCCAGAACAAAGTAATTCAGATCACCCTGCTTTCTTCATTTCCCCAGGGCTCACGTCAGGGGCAGCACGTCTTCCCTTTCTGACCTCGCTCCCCGTGACGTGCACCTGTAGCGCGTCTTCTGTGGCCGGAGCTGTTGGCCTCCTCCAGCATTTTCCCTTTCACACGAAGCTTCATCTCATAAGATTGCGGGCTAAATAAAGCATCCAGGCACTTCCTCTCTCAGCCTCAGTACTGGGTAGCCACACACTGAGCCTGTCTTAAAGCAGTATTCGTTTCTTCAGGTGCTCTTCATTCTCAAGTGTACAACTGTCTCACGTGGGGGAAGAAAACCTTTCTCCCCTACCCTCTCCGATGCAGTGCTTGGGTGCAGAAAAGTAAATGGACGGAAGGTAGCAGCGTTTACTGTGCATCTCTATGGAGGCCTTCGTAGCAAAGAAGTGAAACCTGCAGGAGACCCACGGGGTTGTATACCCTTTTAACAAGAGCAAGAATCTGGGGAGAAGTGACTAGGCAAAGAAAAGCCAGTGGGCTTGTAGGCTTGGTAAACATTTGGCGAAGTGCCTCTGGATGTGCTGTCTCACTGGCGTTTATGATTACTGTGTAGCTGTGTTATTAATTACACACCTTTTGTAGCTAGGAAGAAAGAGAAGGCAAAAACAGAAGGTAGAGGTCAAGTCCACTTCCGGCGCCAGAGTGTGTCCTTCCCCTCACCTCCCCTGACTCTGCCCATGGGGTCACTAACTGCACAGTACTGGTTCTGCATCTGCCTGTGCCAGGGCCCCTACGTACCCGAGGGCCAGGCTGTCTGTCCTGCCGAGGCCCGGCTTGCCAAAGCCTGGGTGCGCGCCCCTCCTTCCCTGGGTCCCAGGGCTGCCTCTGCTGTTTGCTGACTACCAGCCTCATTTCCAGCTTCTAGACTGTTACTTGGAAGCCTACCAGCACACGCTGGACCCTGAGGAGAGGTTTGCCCTGGCACAAGTGATGACTGACATTATGCATCAGCGCCCCAAATTCAATCCGGGCCACCCTTACTTCATTAAGGCCTACCAAGATGAATGCACCTGCCTGAGGCTTCACCTGCAGCTAGTGAGGAGCATCCTCAGCCATCACGTGAGTAGGATTTTAAATATCGCATGTTCAGAGCCGGGCGTGGGGGCACACACCTGTGATCCCAGCACCGGGGAAGCTGAGGCAGGAGGAGTGATGTGAGTTCAAGGTCAGCCTGAATTGCATAGTGAGACCCTATCTCAAAACAACAACAGCAAAACCCAATGAATGAATGAATGAATAAATATTACATGTTCATAGAGGATGAGAAACAGGAGCCAGGAATGAACATAATATTTTCCTTTCATTACAGGTCCAGAACCTGGGTTTTCTAGGGGACGTGTACTGTACAACACATTTATTTGTAAGCTCATTTGCATTGCTGAATTCCAAGCATAGCTTTGGTCTTAAAGGGAGATTTCTGACCCTAATGATGGCTAATGGTCCACGTGAAACTGTTCACCTCAGTTTTCATTAGACCATAAAGTTTGTTAGTAGTAAAAGAAGAACTAATACATCTTTTTAAGACACTAGTGTATAAAATTGTGTTTTTTTTTTTAAAAATGCCACACAAAAAAAAAAGAACATGCCCTGTCTTCCAGGGAAAAGCTAAGCAGGAAGCACGCAGGACACAAAGGATTTTGCAACCTGGTTGGAATTTTTTCCATACAGTGAATTATTTGACAGACAGTTGCCTTGGCGTTCTTTGGCTGACTCTTGGTTCAGACTTCTCAGACCAGCATGTCTCGCTGCACATGAGTCTTGAAAACAAAGTCTGGGTGAAAATTAGTCAAATGAGAGTTTCAAAGGGATGATAGCCTTCTCATGTCAAATTCCGCTTGTACCTGTGGGAAAGTTTAGCTCTTCTAATTTTAATACTTGTGCTATATTTTTAGATAGAGAGTCAGACAGAATACGTCCAGAGGCTTTGGTGGGAAGATCATCCGGGAGATCGGAGTACATTTGGAATACCCCTTAACGTCATCTGTAAGCAACCTAATTCTATCAGTAACATCTGGTAAGTTGGTGTTGTCCTTAAGCATTTTACAATTAATCTCTTAGGTTAAGAGGATGGTGTGAAATGTAAATACTGCTCTATAAAGCACCTCTCAAGTGTTTGGGGAGATGAGAGGTGTGTGCAAAAACCTCAAAGTGGACATGGTGGCACATGCCTAGAGTCCCAGCATGTGGGAGGCTGAGGAAGGAGACAGCTAGTTCATGATAATCCTGGGCTACATAGTGAGTTTAAGGCCAACCTGAGTGATAAGCTAGACCCCTAAATTCCGTCTCAAAGAAAAGAAAGGAAACTCAAAGCCACTTCAGAGGGATTTCCTTGAATATCGAATCTGTTTCCTTTGTGCATAAAAAGAATAGGTGTTAGAATTTAAACTTTTGTCATTCGGTGCAGAATTGTCATTCCCACGAAAAGTTCTGGAGAAAAAAGTAATTCTTGCTACATACAGCCCACATCTGAAATTTAGATGTGTGTAAACATTACTCAAAAGAGAATTTTTTCTAAGATATATGTAGTTAAAGAGGTTTCTGCAGATTTGTGACCTCACGCCTCTCAAGAGCAGAGTTTAATTTCCTGAGACCTCTCAGAGTGGGTAAACAAAATGATAACTTTCCTGCCAGGCTAGTGGGAAGCAGGTGACAAGCCCCAGGTTGATCTGTGCAGCCCTAGATCAGAATTTCTCTGTTGCCTCTGAATGGCTGGAGAATTTGTCTAGCTCCTTTCAATATCCAGCAAGTGCTTGGTGAGGAGGTGCACGTACCAGGCAGTGTGCTAGAAGCTGAGAACACAGATGTGAGCAAACACATGGCCCCACGTGCCTGTGACATGTGCAGTTCACTAGCAAAGGCAGACCGTGTCTAAAAAACGGCCATGGTGGGGTATGGTGTCATGTTGGGGACAGGCAGGGTGCTGTGGCAGTTAATAGTTAAGATTCTAACCTTATTTTTTGAGAAGGAGCTCTGCACTTTTCCCACAGACCTTTCTCAGGACCGATCTCTTCGCTATAATGAGCTTGAGATACCAGCTGTGTGTGCACAGCTTGCTATGGGAAGAGTCTACTGTTCAGGAAATGATGTTTGGCTGGACAGGCTAAGGCTATATGGATACTAAAGCCTGTCAGCATAGTCTTAAAAGCAAATATTCTTTGCTTGATGAGATCCATTTCCAGATTGTGCACTCTCTGTCTTTCTCTCTCTCTCTCTCTCTCTCTCTCTCTCTCTCTCTATATATATATATATATATATATTTTTTTTTTTTTTTGGTGGTACTGAGGATTGAGCTCAGGGCCTTGTGCCTGCTAGGCAAGCACTTTACAGCTACATCCCCTGTCCTGTGCTATATTTTTTAAGGTCTAGCACTAAGAATTCCATTTGTGCAGACTGAAGAGAAATATTTATGGCCTACAGTCCTCCCTAGGTGTTGAAAGACCCTTGACTTGTGCTGTATTCTTTATTTCCAAAGGAATAACCCACAACTGAACATTTAATTGTTTCTGGCCTCATTCATTTCTAAAGTATCACATCTTTACAGCAAATATGAATGATTCTAGGAGCTGCATACAGAATTAAGAAATTGCCTTTGTTGGGCTGGGGATTTAGCTCAGCGGCAAAGCGCCTACCTGGCAAGCGCAAGGTCGTGAGTTGGGTTCCTGGTACCGGAGAAAAATCAAAAAAAAAAAAAAAAAAAAAGAAATTGCCTTTGTCCATTAACATGTTGGGGAGAAAGGATAAAAATTCAGGTGAAAAACAGAAACTAACAACCATGCAAGTTATTTTTTTATTTACCCATTTTTACTGTACATTATTTTGTTCCCAGATATATGCCTAGATATTGCTTACTGAGATTTCATGTTTTTGCTATATATAGTCTTATTCCTATTGGGTTTTTGGAATATGCATCTATTTCAGTTTTGAAGGATTCACATTAAAGCAAAGAGCATGTTGTATGACCCAAGAGACACCCTGAACAATTGCTCAAGTCGCTCTGAGTGCTGGGTTCTTATAATGCTCTGAACCTATGGAAGCTGCGTTATTGGTCTTTTTGAGACAGGGTTCAGTTCAGGCTGGGCTTGAGCTCACTTTGTAGCCCAGGTTGGTCTTGAACTTACACCGATCCCTCCTGCCTCAGCCTCCCAAGTGCTGGGATTACAGGCGTGCGCCACCACACCCGGCCAGTGTTTAAAAATATAAAATGCAGTTATCTTCAGAAAGTTACTAGTTGTGTAAAACTGCCATTTATTTTTCCTCTCCTTCAAGCCCAGGTCTGAGAAACATTCATCTGCTGGAGTTTCACCCTTCTCTCGGCCTGGCAGGGCTCATCCCCAGGGCCATAGAGCACCTGCAGAGAGAGGCCCGCCACACCCACCGGCCCACGTCTCCCAGCGGCCTTGCCCTGCTGGAGCGACGCGTCCTGCAGCTGGCCCTGGACCTGTGGCTCTCCCCGACCAAGCCCGAGACCTGCTACAGCGCTCGTCTCCAGAGAGAGGTGGGTTGCTTCTGCAGGGGACAGTTCTGTCCTTGGCAAAGAGAACATTTCCTTCCAGATGTTACTATTTAGTTTTATTTCTGTTTGGCTTTATTCCTCACTATTTGGCCAGGGAAAGAGAACAGTCACGGGCCTTGCCAACATTTTTGTGTAATTTTTTTGGTCAAATTTTCTGGTATATAAGAGTGCTGCTAAAGTTAAAAATTAAAGGGTTTATATAAGTATGTGAAAATATTCTTTAGTTTATTTACAGTTTAACAATACACACTTTAAATTAAAACTTACGTATTCTCTCCCCACTAAGACTCTTCCTAAAATCTATTTTTTGTGTTTTGAGTCAAATTCTGATTCAGGGGAGACGAGAGGAGGCAACAACCTAGACTCAAGTTCAACCGTGCCATGAACTTGCTGTGTGACTTTGCACAAGTGTCAGAGCCCCTCTGAGCCTCACTTTCCTTTTATGTAAAACAGTATTTGCATGTTGGGGTAGAAGTCAATGGAGATGAGTTTGGTGATCTCCCACCTCCCTTCTTCCAAGGTCTGATGGTTCAAACTGTGACCAAATGATTTCTAGTGTCTGTACTTGGCTTTTAACGCTTTTCTTTCTCTATTAAGGTTATCAGGATTGAGTATGGTTTTCAATTTCACTTTACTCTGTGGGCACTTGCTGTATGGCAGAGGAACTTTCAAGGGCCCCAGCTGCCAAAATCATCTGCTCTGTGGGTCTACCTTGGCCTCCTCTTCCTTCCTGCCCAAACTAACAATCAATTTTATTTTAAATTAATTTTAAGTTGATGAAAATCAAAATTACAGAGAATTTTAGCAAAAGAAGAAATGTAACTCACCACTCAAAGGCATTCATTATCGTTTTTCTGAACTCAGATGTTCTTCATATTACCATTTCACATAGACGTGTACATGGTACACTGACATCTACTTTCTGGGCTAATATTATATATTTTCCACATTACTAATTCATCTTTAATTCAGCTTCATTGACCATGTAATTCTCTTACGTGATGACTCATACTCCTCTAACCACTTTCCTTCAGGGGGGCATTCAAGTAGTTTTGGTTTTCATTATTATAGATGCTCTAAGGTACATTTTTATGCTTACAGATTTTTCCATATTTTGAATGGATTCTTTCTGATAGAAGCTTGGAAGGAGAATTGGTGAAATGAAATTTAAATTTTTGGATACATACTGATCGATTACTTTCCAAGATAGTTATGCCAACTCATCAGACCACCAATAACATTGTTTTTTCTTTTGGTCTTTTTGAGACAGGGTCTCCCTGTGCAGTTCAGGCTGGTCTTGAGCTCACTTTGTAGCCCAGGCTGGCCTTGAACTCACAATGACCTAGGGTGGCACAGATCAACCTGTGGCTTGTCACCTGCTTCCCACTCAAAGCCTGCCAGGAAAGTTATCATTTTGTATACCCACTCTGAGAGGTCTCAGAGCCAAGCAAACTCTGCTCTTGAGAGGCATAAGGGTCCTGCCTCAGCCTCCGGAGTGCTGGGATTACAGGCGTGCGCCCCCACGCCCGGCTTGACAGTAACATTTAAGAGACTCGGTTCTGCTGTGGTGTTAGGTGAAAGCATACAGTGTTTGTGCTGATGGACACATACACGTAAAAGTGGCATTATGCTCCTAATTTACCTTTCCTTTCAGTTCATTCAGATTATTTTTGCAAATGTTTTGTTATCAGCTGTAACTTTTGAGAATTTTCTGTAATTTTATTTTGCTCATGTATGTTTGAATCCTAATGTCATTTTTCTTTACTTACATGAGCTTCACTTGCATAACAACTTTACTCTTTTTGTTTATCATATTGTCTGAAAATAGTTTTCTATTTTTCTTTCTATTTTTTAACAGAAAATTCTTATTTTAGTATAATCAAATCTGCTGATCATTTCCTTTGTGATTTCGTCTATCGTTCTAAATGCAGAAAAATTCTTTATCCAGATGTTTCATATTTTATTCTAATTTTATTGTCTTATTTTATTCTAATTTTAAGGGTTTGTTTTTATTTTTAAAATATGTAATTCCTGGCCAGGTGTGGTAATGCACGCCTGTAATGCCAACACTTGGGAAGATGAGGCAGGAGGATCACCATGAGTTCAAGGCCAACCTGGGCTACATAGTGGTTCAAGACCAGCCTAAACTACACAGCAAGGCCCTCTCTCAAAAAATAAATAAAATAAAATAAAATGTAACTCTTTTACTGTTTCATGGGGAGGGTATGTGTGTGGTGTGTCAGTAATGAATCAAAATTGAAGTTTTTCCCAAATTACCAAACAATTATCCTACTACCATTTATCAGGAATCCTTTGACATTGTCTTATTATGCTCTTTTAAATTTTTTTTTTATTTTTTGTCTTTTTGAGACAGGGTCTCGCTATGCAGCTCAGGCTGGCCTTGAGCTCACTTTGTAGCCCAGGCTGGTCTCAAACTTGCAATGACCCTCCTGCCTCAGCCTCCCAAGTGCCGTGATTACAGGCATGCACCACCACACCTGGCTTATGCTATATTTTAAAAACTTGTTTGAAATTCTTTTATGACTTACAATAAATATCTGGGATACTCATTTATTCTCCTACTGATGCCAATTTTGATTATTATTTTTTGAATGTGTTCAAATTTGGATCTTGAATTGCTAAATATTCAGATTAATCTCTTGCATTACCTTAGAAATGGGGGGAAGTGTTTCTTTGAGAGACACGCAAGCATTTAATGTAACTCTCTTTGGTATCACAGTAGAAAACTGTGAGAGCCCAGAGCTGCATCTGTGAGGAGACCAGTCTTTTGGTGGAAGAGTGGGTAGATAGGAAGCTAGTGGACTTGGGGGCCCAAACCAGGAAAGGCAGAGAGACGGTCTCCTGGGAGCAGTACTAGAGGACAGCAAAGATGGCAGAGCAGTGGTGCCCACCAAGGCAGGGTGCACAGAGGACGTGTGGTCCGCTGTGGATCACCCAGGCCGGCTCTGAGGAAGGAGTGCTGTGAAGGCCGCTGGCTGTCCCATCAACCTACTGCACGTGGAATTGGGAAACGAAGTTTAGTCTTGTGACCTTTAGTGCCGTGTGACCCTTGGGAAGGTTTAGTGTTGCTTCAGAAACCTCGTTGGTGAAGGAGAATGTGGTATCAGTGATGCCTCCTTGCTGGGGACCTGGGGAAAATAAAACTGAGTAGAGATATGTGAAAATACTTTGAAATTTTGAAACTTCAGTTAGAGGAGTTTATTAAAATTACTGGCCAAGGAAATAATTGCTTTAAACCAGGGACTTCTCTTTAGATTATTTTGCCATTGCTATTCTTTAGACCCAAAACATTTATAATTATACAGTGAATACTTTTTTTTTTTTTTTTTTGTCTCTTTAAGACAGGGTCTCACTATCGGGTTCAGGCTGGCCTTGAGCTCACTTTGTAGCCCAGGCTGGTCTTGAACTCGCAACGATCCTCCTGCCTCAGCCTCCTGGGATTACAGGCGTGTGCCACCATGCCCGGCCCACAGTGAATACTTTTGCATATGTTATCTCCACCCTCTCCACAACGCTGTTAGGTGGTTATTATCTGGTAGTGTCCAGTAGATACCGTTATTGTCCTTACTCCTACTCTAGAAATGGGGAAACTCAGGGTCAGCAAAATTGAGTCGGTTGCTCAAAATTCCAGTTTGTGTCAGAGCTAGGACGTGAGGCCAGGAAATTCAGATGCAGAGTTGATCACACTGGTAGCATTTAAAAAAAAAATATGTAAACTTCTTCTTTGGTGGTGTTAAAAGTACTTGGTTTTCTGTCAGTTATTTTCACAGAACGTGGTGGGAGACCCCTTCCTTGTGGAGGAGATAGGCTTGCTTGCACTCAAGGCTGCCACGGATGAAGGGCAGAAACAAGGCTACCACTCTCCTGTGCTGCTCCTGGACACGTTTTCCAGGCTTCTGGAGCTGCTGACCCTCCGCCACCGGCTGATAGAAACGAGTGTGGAGAGTGCACACCTAGCTCGGTCAGTGGGGGGAGCCACGGCACCAGGAGAAGCGTGAGCTTTGAGCGTGCCGTGTGAATAATGAGACCCCGGGTCTCCCTGCTGCCGACCTTGCCCAGAGCAGCCAAAGTGAGCGGGGTTTCTAACTGGCCACCTTGCTCCTCCGTTCTTTCTTCTGAGCCTCCCCACATGCCTCTCTGACCACTCAACTGTGCTAGCCCATCCCAGTGGCAACCAGGTATCCTCTCATCCGGTATGTGTGTGTCTGTCTAATTAGATGCTTCATGTAGGGTTATCAGTTTTCCAGCCAGTATATACTCCCTGAGTGCAAAAGCCTTGTGCATGTTGTCTACTGTGATATTCTGTTACCTGGTGTCTGTCCGTTTTGTGTTGCTATAACTGAATGCTCGAGACTGGCTAGTTTATAAAATATAGAGATTTATTTGCCACTGTTGTGAAGACCGGCGAGTCCAAAGCTGAGGGTCTCAAAGGTCCTTGTTGCTGCATTCTCCCCTGGCAGAAGGCAGAAGAGCAACAGAGCGTGTTCTCGCAGGGATATGCACAAGAGAAAGTGAAAGGGGGAGAGGAAGGAGAGGGAAGCGGAGAGGTGGCCACACTCAACCTTTCCTCAGGAACCCACTCCCACAGTAACCAGCCTACTTCCTTGACAACTGCAGAACCCTCGTGGCCCACTCCCTTCCTAAAGCTCCCATTGTCCTGGAAGGAAATATCCAACACACAAACTCTGAAGACACAGTGAAACCGTATCAGTGGCCTATGCCACACCTGGCACTCTGGGGATGCTGGTTACATTTCTCTTCGATACAACGAAGTTGTACTGGGGGTTCTAGAGAAAGGAGGGAAGGGTCAGTGACAGTCTCCGGGTCTGTCGGAGGTATGGAGAGCTCTGGAGAAAAGAGAGGTTACTGAGTTATGCTTCAGTTACAGGCCTGAGATGATGTGAGGTGTCAAATGAGCATATCCCATAAGCAGGAGGAACATGGAGCTAGAGGCTAGTTGCAGTGTGTGAGGGTTGTGATCTGGTCCCCATGAAATGACCGAGGGCCAGAGTGCGTGCGTCCACACGCTGTGATTGAGGAGCCGCTGCGGCCGGAATCCTTAGCAGAGAATTTATGTATATTTTTACCCTGAATTCTCAGAGTACCCTTTCAAGGCAGATACAAATACTTTATCAGCAAGGAAACAGAAGCTTGTAAAAGTTACATAATTTGCACAAGATCATATAATTAGAAAGAAGTAGAAGCAGAATTTGAACTATTAGTCAAAATATTTTTCCCTCCAGCCACGCTTCTCCGTAATTTATGACCCCTGCTCACAGTGTGAAAATCACCCACAATGCTGTATAATCCTGGTATTCTACTCATCTGAACAAAATACTACCGGAGTACAGGAAAGGGATTACTGCATTCTTTCTAAGTAGATTGGAGAAAGCATTATGTAAGAAGGACTATTACAGGTTGAACTTTATCCCTCCAAAACTGATGTGGTCAAGAACTAACCCTTTGTGCCTCAGAATGTGATCGTATTTGAAGGGCCTTTTCCAGAAGTAATCAAGTTAAACTGAGGTTATTAGGATAGACCCTCACCCACTATCACCCACGTCCTTATAAGAGGAAATCTGACACTGTTAAGGGAGGGAAGAGTCTGAAAGCACAGGGAGAAGACAGCTACCAACAAGGCAAGGAGAGAGAAGAAAGCGGCGCTTCTGACACCCGAGTCTCAGGCTGCCGTCCTCCAGAGCTGTAAGACGATACATTTCTGCTGGTTAAGCCATGTGTTTCTGTGTCCTCTGTCACGGCAGCCCTTGCAAGCGAATAGTGGTGTCCTTTGGCCTCAGCCTTAACACACCAGCTTCTTAAATTGAGAAATGTGTTCGAGCAGGGGTGTGCAGGGAGGGGGAAGCGTAGACACATAATGCTGAGCTACCAGAGAGATTCCTGGCCACAGCCACACACACTGCAAGTCACGGAAATGGGGGACTCAGCTCAGAGTTGAATCAGGGCAGAGAAGGGTTGCGGCTTAGGTGATGGGTTTTAGTGCCTGGGGTTAAATAGAGTTCTCAAAAAGGAGATTTAGTAGAAGAGGACCAGTGGTCTAGAGCCCCAGGAGACATCAGTATTCAGAAAAAGCACTGAAGACTGGAAAAGACTGGTTGTAAGGCAGAAGCATGGAGTTCATGAATTCGGAACTAAGATATTCTTCAAGAACTAGGCAGAGCCAGGCGTGGTGGCGCACGCCTGTAATCCCAGCACTCGGGAGGCTGAGGCAGGAGGATTGCTGCGAGTTCAAGACCAGTTTGGGCTACAAAGGCCAGCATGAATTGCATAGCAAGACTCTGTCTCAAAAAGACAGAAAAGAAACAAAAAACAAAGAAAAAAAAGCTAGGCAGAGTTTGGGAGGCTGAGGCAGGAGGATCACTGAGAGTTCCAGGACAGCCTGGGCTACAAAGTGAGTTCAAGGCCCACCTGAACTGCATAATGAAACCCTGTCTCAAAAAGATAAATAAATAAATAAATGTGGGCAGAGAGGCCAGCTGTGAAGAGCTCTGAAAGAAGGTATGAATATTTCATGGAGGGCAGTATGGGTGACCTCATGAGGGCTTATTGGGAAACCTGACCAAGATCCCCAGCTGCCTGCATGAGGGGTATGGTGAAAGGATGACATAAGAAAGAGACAGACTTAGTACTGCATGACAGGGTGAGCAGAGGCAGCGACACTGAGTGGCCCCTTTACAGGGCGTGCACGGTAATGGAGGGATTATTGGATGACTCAGAGGGTGGCGGTGACCTTAAGCTAGCGAGGATCTTTATGTTGATGAGGATGGGGAGAAATGGCAGGCTGAGAAGGCGCTTGTCCCTTCCCCAAGGTGAAACCCTGTTTTCATTACCACTGAGTTCTCAAGGAACCAGGTTGTCTTCAGCTGATGAAGTCTGGTGCGGGGTGCCACTGAAGCCTCCATTGAGGCCTCTGGGCCCTGGCCTCGATTTATAACTTGTGGTCCCCGACAAGGGCTCTGGGAGCAGAAGCCACCCTGAGGAAAGGAGAGCCCCAGGCTGTCGGTGGGAACTGTCGTGGGAACTGTTGTGGGAACTGTCGTCCCAAGGGCAGAGCGCAGGCCTCTGTGGCTCACTCACCCGACGTGGGACTTCGGCTTGCTCTTACTTGACCTTTGCTTTTGTACTTATTCCAGGTTTTTGTTTGCCAGCTGCTTACTTTTCCTTCAGGAGGAAACACTAGCAAATGTCCTTCGCTTCTCTTCCTCTCTTAGCCTCTATAAGGAACTGGCGCGGGAGACGGGTTTTGAAGAGTTCCACTTGTATCTGAGACCGGTTCACTTTGAATTTGCATCACTTGACGACAAGGTGGACCAGTCAGCTCCTGTCTTTATCACTTCCCTGCTGGAGGAGCGTGGTCAAGTAGACAGGTGAGCCTGGAGAGAGTCAAAGTGAAAATGCTCTGAGGGAAAAAAGAAAACAATGGAAGAATAAACAACCAGTGAACATAATTCCCACCACCACTGGAAACATATGTGCAACTGAATTTCTAAATTCTTTCACTTATGCTCTGTTGTCTTGATGCCAGGGTTCCGTTTTGTTTCATTTTGTTTTGTTTTGCTTTGCAGTACTAGGGATTGAAACCAGGGCCTTCTCCCTGGGCTCTGTCCCCAGTCCATTTTATTTTTTATTTCAACACAGGGTCTTGCTAAGTCACTAAGTTGCCCAGGCTGGGCTAGAACCTGCAGTTCTCCTGCCCTGGGCTGCCAGAGTGCTAGGATTGCAAGCATGTACCACCACACCTAGCTTTGCTTGCTTGCTTTCTTCCTTCCTTTCTTTTTTCTTTTCTCCCTTCCTTCCTTCCTTGCTTCCTTCCTTCCCTCCTTCCTTCCTTCCTTCCCCCCACCCTCCCTTCCTTCCTTTCTATAAGAAGACAGAAAATAAGATCTCAATTAAGGGGAACAACTGAATTTAAAAATACTGAGTCACTGAGAAGTGAAGGAACATAGTCAGAAAACTCAAATGATCCAGGTGTGGTGGTGCACGCCTGTAATCCCAGCACTCAGGAGGCTGAGGCAGGAGGATCGTTGCGAGTTCGAGATCAGCCTGGGCTACAAAGTGAGCTCAAGGCCAGCCTGAACTGCATAGTGAGACCTTGTCTCAAAAAGACAAAATAAACAAAACAAAACAGAACACTTAGATGAAACCACAGGCTCAGTAGCTTCCCAGGCAGAACCCGTGCTTCCAGGAAGAAAGGGGCCTGGTGGGCGGGAGCCACGAGTCAACAGCTCCTGTCTCTTTTCTTAACTTTCTTGAGACCAGGAAGTCACGTCAGTTTGCAGAGTGGCTTGGCTTCTGGGTGATCAGACCTCAGGCAAGGCCAGGTCTCCAACTGGCTCTGGCACTAAGCTAAATCCCTAGCCCTTTTAAACATTTTATTTAAAAATGTTTTATTGTATTTTACTTTTTTTTTGAGGCAGGGCCTTGCTATGTAGTTCAGGCTGGTCTTGAGCTCACTATGTAGCTCAGGCTGGCCTTGAACTTGCAGTGATCCGCCTGCCTCAGCCTCATGAATGCTGACATTACAGGCGTGCACCACCACATCTTGCCAAGTTGCCCAGGCTGTCCTCAAACTCACTATCTTTCTGTCCCAGCCTTCTGAACGGTTTGGATTACAGGGACGCAGTACCACTTCCAGCCCAGAATGGCCATCTGTCTTCCTCTCTTTCTGTTTAGCTTTTATTTTTTATTGGTACATATTTGTAGCACGTAATGATTACACTCCTTTGGGAGGCTGGTACATGTACATAACACATCAGAATTTTTTCTCTGTGCAATACAATGAAAGCAGTCTTAAGAGTGAAGTTTATAGCTGTGAGTGCCTACCTCAGAAAAATAGAATGATTCCAAGTAAATAACCTAATGATGGACATCAGAGTCCTATAAAAATCCAAATCTAAAACTAGTACAAGGCAGGACATTATAAAGTTGGACCCCTCCCCACACTCTCCCCTCCATTTCTTGGTTCCGCCTCTTTGCAAAAGATTTGTCTCCTTAGTTCCTATTACCTATCATTTATTTTTGCTTTTTATTTATATTTTGGGATTCTCATGTAAGACAAACCATGCAATATTTAAGCTTGGGGTATGATTTATTTCATTTAATATTATGATTTCAAGATACATCCATTTTCCTACAAATGACACAGATTTATCATTCTTTATGGCAGTGTATAAATATACCCCATTGTGTATAAATACCTATTTACACATTTGTTGGTTGATGGTCATGTAGGCTGCTTCAAAGTTTTAACTCTTGTAAATTGTGTCACTCTAAACATAAATGTGCATGTATCACTGTATGATGCTTTAACTCTTTCAGGAAGACACCTAGAGGCGGGAATAGCTGGGTCGAATAGAATTGCTTTAGGAATCTCCATACTGACTTCCATAATGGTTGTACTATTTTCCATTCCCACCAACAGTGTAGAACAGTTCCTTTTTCCCTGCAGCCCTGCCAGCATTTGTTTCGTTTTGTTATTTTAGCATTTGTTATTATTGAATTTCTCAATGATAGCCCTTCTTTCGGGAATAAGATAGAATCTTAGTGTTGTTTTAATTTGCATTTCTCTAGGGGCCAGAAATGTTGAACATTTCTTCATCTATTTATTAGCCATTTGTACTTCTGAGAAGTGTCTATTCATTTCAGATGCTCATTTTTTATTTGGTATTTTATTTTGGGGGCGTTCTAACTTTTTTGAACTTTTTATATATTCTAGCTATTGGTCCTCTGTCTGAGAAATGGCTCACAAATATCTTCCCCATTCTGTAGGTTATTGCTTCACTCTTTTACTTCTTTTGCTGTAGAGAAGCTTTTAATTTGACATGATACATACATGTATTAATGTTATTTCTCATGCAATTGGGATTCTATTCAGAAAGTCCTTACCTACATCTATGTCTTCAAGAGTTTCTAATTGTATTGATTTGGGTTTTTTCTTTCCTTTTTGGGGAAGATTGGTTAAGGTTCATCTATGTTGTTTACATTGATTCTATTCTTTAGTCTTAATGTCATTAATTTAAAAAAAACATTTTCATTAATTTGTATCCAATCTTTATAACTTCTTGCCTTGTACTAGTTTTGGATTTGGATTTTTCTAGGACTTTGAGGTCCATCATTAGGTTATTTACTTGGAATCATTTTATTTTTCTGAGGTAGGCACTCACAGCTATAAACTTCACTCTTAAGACTTTTTTCATTGTGTTGCACGGGTTCTGCTAAGTTGTACTGGCATTATTGTTTGATTCTAGGAAGTGTTTAATTTCTTCCTTGATTTCTTCTGTGACCCATTGATTATTTAAGAGTGTATTGTTTAGGCCAGGCATGGTGGCACATGCCTGTAATCCCAGCACTTGGGAGCCTGAGGCAGAAGAATCACTGTGAGAGTTTGAAGCCAGCCTGAGCTATGAAGTGAGTTCGTGCCCTGCTTGAACTGCACAGTAAAACCCTGTCTCAAAAAGACAAAAAAAAAAAAAAAGAGTGTATTGTATATGTTTGGAGAATTTCTGTGGTTTCTTTCACCATTGATTTCTAGTTTCATTGTGCTAAGATCTGATAATATGCTTGGGACAATTTTGATTCTTCTGCATTAATAACCTGTGCTTTTTGGGTTAATATGTGGTCTGTTTTGGAGAAATTTCCTTGGGCTTCTAAGAAATGTGTGGATTCTGTTGTTGGGTGGAACACTCTGAAGATATCTAGTAAGTCCACTTGTTCAATGTTTTGATTCAACTCTGATTTTTCTTTGTTGATTTATCTATTGATGACAGTGGCGTGTTGAGGTTCCCCATAATAATTATGTTGGTGTTGATCTGATTTTTTAATGTCTAGTGCAGTAGTTCCTTAGTTCATGGGCTTAATTTGTTTCACCACCATCATTATCATCACCCAGTGCACAGTTCACAAACACAAACAAAATTTTGCCAAACATTTCTGCTTGCAAACTGGTCGGGAATTTAGCTCATTGACACAGCCTGGCAAGCTCACTGACACAGCCTGGCAAGCTCATTGACATTGCCTGGCAAGCACAAGGTTCTGAGTTCAATTCCCGGTACCCCCCCAAAAAAAAAGCTGAATTGGTCACAAACAAAAATGTTCATGACCTGAGGTGCCACTGTAGCATTTGTTTTATGAAGTTCCGCATATATGTTTGTAATTGTTATCTCTTCCTGTGGAACGGCTGCCTTACCCAATATGTACAGTAAGTCCCTGACTTCCAAACATTTGAGTTATGAACTTTCACAGATACAGACCATGTATTGTGAACATCTGTAGATGGGAACAAATTGTGGAAGTAGCTCATGTATCTACCTTCCCATTTTAAGGTGACTGTAAAAGCAAAAATAGTTTATTTGTAATATTTGTGTGTGTATTTGGTGTTTTTATGTTTATGTTGTATAGCTGTGTCAAAGGTTTATAAGATTCACTTCATCGGACCTATGACCAAATCCAGTTTACATTCTTCTGGAATGGAATTCATTTGTAAGTTGGGGACTTACTGTACTGACCTTCTTTGCCTCTTTTGATCAGTTTTGGGTTGAAGTCCACTTTATCTGAAAATAAGATAGCTATTCCTGCTTGTTTTCCGATTCCCATTGTATAGAATATTATTTTCTATCCTCTGATTTTTAGTCTATGAATTTCTTTTCGGATTGAATGTTTCTTGTGTAAGCATCCTGTTGAATTTTGTTTCATGATCCTTTCTGCCAATCTGTTTTCTGATTGAGAAAGTGAAACCATTAACATTGAGAGTTATTATTAAAAAATATTGACATTCCTGTCATTGCATTATTTGCCTGTTGCTGATTCCATTTTTTTTCGTTTTGGTTTTGGTTTTTTGGGGTTTTTTTGAGACAGGGTCTCACTATGCAGTTCAAACTGGACTTGAGCTCACTTTGTAGCCCAGGCTGGTCTTGAACTCGCAATGATCCTCTTGCCTCAGCCTCCTGAGTGCTGGCATTGCAGGCATGCGCCACCACGCCTGGCTTGATTCCCTTTTTCACCCCCTATGTTTAACTGCTAATTCTGCCTGATGTATTCATGGGCATTGTTAGCTTCATTTTCTCTTTCTAGGATATTCTTGGAAATTCTTTTTTTGAAGTGCTGGTTTGGTGGTCATGAATTTCTTAAGGTGCTAGTGTTGAAAGACAGTTTTGCAGGGTATATAGTCTGGCTTGGAAGTTTTCTTCTTAGGGTTTGCAACACTTCACTCTGAGATCTCCTGGCTTATAATTTTTATTGAAAAGTCTTCTGGGCCAGGGATATAGCTCAGCAGCACAAGTGCCTGCCTGCCAAACGCAAGGTCCTGAGTTCGATCCCAGGTACAAAAAAAAGTCTTCTATAATTCTAATGGGTTTGTCTTTTCAAGTGATTCACTGCTTTTCTCTAACAGCTTCTAAGATTGTGTGCTTTATTGGACTTTCAGTATTTTGACTATGATGTGTTGTGGCCAGTTCTTTTCTCACTGTAACTGCTTGGGGTTCTACATGCATCACTTATCTGTATGTTAAATTTTTTCTTCAGATTTGGAAAGTTTTCTTCTATTATTTCAGTAAACAGGTTTTTTATGCCATTTGTGTTGTCTTTTGATTTTTCAGCAATTCCCATTAATCTTTTTTGCATCATCTAGCAGCTGTTGGATCCATTTTTCATGTTCTCTTGTTGCTTTTAAGGTATCTCTGAGTAACTGGTCGTCAATATAAGCCCTATCTTCTATTTCTGATACTCTATCCTCACACTGGTCACTTTTGCTGGCTATACTTTCTGTTGAATTTTTAAGCTCTTAGGTTTCTGTTTAGCACCTTTTAATTGTCTCTAATTCTTTGCTAACCTTGTTGTTCATGTTTTATATCATTCTTCTTAGCTCAGCGAGTGTCTTCTGTAAACTTGCTGATCATTTTGTTTATTAAGTCCCTTATCTGTTCAGCTATATCATCTTTGAGCTCAATGAGCACCTTATTTGTGTATTTTTTTTATGTCTTCTTTCATCATTTTGAGTAATTCAGCTGTGTGGCTTTTGATTTCCTTTCCCGTGATGCTGCATGGATCAGTTTTAGGGGTGTTGGAAGTTTTTTGAGGCATTTTGTTGCCTTGTCTTCTTATGTTTTTATTGTTCTGTGTGTGTATGAGTGTGTGTGTGTGTGTGTGTGTAAGTGTGTGTGTGTTGGCGCACTGAGGTTTAGGGGTTGATTGTGGCAGAAAGGCTTTGTTGCTTGTGTGAAGACATGTTAGTGTCTGCTTCCAGTGACGCATTCTGAGCATAGATAACTACAGGCCTTTGCCTCTGTCCCAAGATTCAGCTACCTGCATTAACCTGGGAGGGAAGAATACAGTGGATTTGACCCAGCACTCAGATGTCTGGGAATGGACTACAGTATTCTTAATGAAACAAAGGTAATCCAGATATTGTCATACACAGAAAAACAATAGCAATAATTATGTCACCCTGGCAATAGCAACAAAATCAGCAGCAATAACAGTAGTAATGACAGACTGGTTAATAACATAACATGAAGGCCAGGCATGGTGGCACACACCTGTAATTCCAGCACTTAGGAGGCTGAGGCAAGAGGATTGCCACAAGTTCAAGGCCAGTCTGAACTATGTAGTGAGACCCTGTCTCAAAAAAAAACAAACAAAAAATAACATAGCATTAAGGAGCAATAGTATACCACCCTTAACTATATAAAAGAGATCTATAATTATAGTAGGAACACCAAGACAGACCAAATATTGAAATACTGTAAATATCTACTAATTGCAAAAACTACACCTCCATTAATAATAGAAGAGAATCCAACAGTAATAGCATGGCGTTAACTAAAGATTAATAAAACTTAATGATCATACTAGTAAAGATAGAGAAAGTGGGGAATGGGAGAATTTTTAAAGTAAAATTTGAAATATTAAACAATGGAAGATGAGAAGAGAGAAGTGAGATAAGGGATCCTATTAAGGAGTAAGAGGAAATTAATATAATTAGATAAAAGTAACAGAAAAGAACAAACAAGAAAAAATTAAAAAGAGCAAAATAAAGAAAAAAGAAGGAAATAGAAAGAAAAAATTAAAGGAAACAAGGAAAACAATCACAACCCCCAGAAAAAACAATAATTTTTTTTAAATAAGTGGAAGAAAAAATTCCTCTGCATTTTTGGATGACGGTTTCTCTCCAGGGTCTGCAGTCTTCAAATCCAGCAAGTCACAGCCCGTGGGTTTGTACGGTGACCCCGTGCTCCAGTTATCCATACACTCCAGGCTGTGGCAACCACCCAAGCTGAGGTGTGTCCTCACCCATGTTGGTAGACAGGGAGTCAATCAGATTACTGGTGTTTGTGCTGGATGTGGGTGGCGAGGTGGGGTTCTAGTAGACTACCAGACTTTATGCCAGCAGTTTCAGATCTGGCCACCTCTGAGAGCCACACTTGCTGGTCCCGGCTTCTCAACACAGAAGGTCAGGCTCTGAGCCCCTCCCAGCCTCAGCCCAAAACTCTCAGGGGATCTTTGTCCAGCCTGCAGCCTCCCCATGATTGGCTTTTGTGGCTGTCTCTTACCCAGTCACAGTGGGAGGCTAATACTGGAAACCCTGAAGTGAAATTTTTCTGAGTTGTTCTGTGGCTCAGTCCCAAACAACCAGCCCCTTCTCAGAGTGGCTCCTGATTACACCTTCTCAGTTATGATGGGTACTGCTCCGGATTTCTTCTCCAACTGTAGCATGCCATGTGGAAGAAGTCACTTTACAGTTTACAGTAGCCATGGGCTTTTCTTGGAGCTAACTCTGCCGGCCCAGGCTGCTGTTTCTCTCCGCAGCTGCTGACCGTCCAGGCTTACCTTCTCTCCCCAAGCATTTGCCTCTTCCGTGTCAGTCAGTCAGCTCCTCTTCTGCCCCATGCCAAGGGGAAACAAAATACAGGGTGGGCTTGTATCAGGTTCATAATTCGTAGTTATTGCAGGTTGATCAGGCCCACAGTCTCCCAAATGAGTGGACAGTGAAGGCTTAAATAAGTAAGACAAATGAAATTATTTCAGGGCTCCAAGAGGGTCCAGCTCTCTTACAATATTTAAGATTCTCTGGGTGAAGACCCCGACTTCTCTGGGCAGCTCATATTTATTAGATTTTCAAACAAAGTAGGGGGATACTGAAGAAAATACAGGAATCTAGGCGGGACTTGGGAAACCCTTTAGGAATTCTCCAGGTAATATATTATGTTAATTTAGGAGAACTATGTTAACTCCAGGAAGGCCTTTACCGCAAGAGTGAGATGCCTGCAGCTACAGCCTCCTTTTGGTTAACTGGCATTGGAGCCAAAAGTCGTCAACTGTGACCTTGTCTTGTCCTTTGAGGCCTCATGGCTTCAACCAACATTACAGGCCTCAGTAGAGACCAGTGACTCACAAGTAAACCTGGAAAGCCAATTGGTTAATATTAAATCCTGCTCAGAGCTGATACACAGTGGTCTCCATCAGGCTTGGAGCTGGCCAGTGGCCATGGCCCAGTTACAGAATCTACAAGCGGGGAGTTGGCGAGGGGCCACTGTGGCTCTAGGGAGTTTCGGGCCTCTGTGGCCGAGGCTCCCTGCAGGTGCAGGTGGCTCACTCAGGAATGGGCGTCTCCTTATTTGCAGCACGTCACGTCAAAACAACCTCTTATTTCTTTTTGCAGATATTCTCCCGCTACTCTTGTCTTAGCCATCTCTGAGGTGGATGATAACCAAATTGGCAAATATAGTTTTTATACGAAAGAAGCCATCCTTAAGGTAAATTATCCCTTTTAAAAGAAACCACAGTGAAACAAGCAGTTGGAAAAAAAATCAATGTTTATATACATTTGGTTTCCATTTATAAGAAAGGTTTACTTCATTAATAATATGTTGTCCCTGCCTTAGTGATGTGTGCACTGGCCTGATTTGAACCAGAGACTGCAGCAGCACATACAATGACTTCTGATAGATGTGAAGAAGAAGCACGTGTCGTGCACCGCCTCTGCAGCAGGCCTTTAAACCACACACTTGTTATAGGAGCTTTTCACTTATCTTTTTAAGCCCGGTGCTGTTTCTTCATTGTGATCATCATCATGTTGTCACTGGGACAGAATACCCGATACCCACACCTTTAAGGAAGAGAGGGCCATAGTCACCTGGCTCCAAGACAGAAAGGACATGGTGGGAGGGTCTGGAGGAGGGAGGCTGCTCACATCAGGGCTGACCACATCAGGCTGATCACGAGGAAGCAGAGAGTGAAGGGAGGAGTTGGGGAGAGAGATACAGCTGTCCAGAGCATACCCCCGTGGTCTGCTGCTCCACACAGACCCTGCCTCCTGACAGCACACTCAGCGCTGGGCCCTGGCGTGGACCAGTTCATGGATAAGTGTGGCATCCCTGATCCAGTCACCCTCCAAAAGCCCTAACTCTGAACATGACCATTTTGGGGGACATTCTAGGTCTAAATCAAAACATCTTGCCCCTTGGATTATACATATATGTTTATATTTTTATTTTAAAACTTTGGCCTCATCTTGGCTTATAAGAGCCTGCGACCAAGTCCATGAAGTTCATCAGAGCCTACCCGTCCTTTCCTGACCGCTGAGGAACACCATGGTGTCCAGAGTTGCCATCTGGAGGCTGCCTGCCTGGAATGAGGTGCTGCTCAGGGGCAGACCAGCTTTGGTGTAAGGGCTGAGGCAGGGAACCCAGCTCATCCTGCACTTAAATTAACATACATATTTACTGCTGAATAAATGATGATCTTAACCCTCAAATTACCTCTGTCTTCATGGGAGCGGTTCCTAATGCCTTTCATGTCTTCTCTCTTTAGCTCTTGTCTCACTCAGGAGTGGAAAACATGCAAGTGATTCTCGCATGCCAGGCTGCTCAGAGAAATGCTTTGCTGGTGGCTCTTCAGCAGGCAGCCTCCTACCACACCCCGCGAGCAGGCTGTCCTGACGTCAAGGTCAGCCTGGGAGATGCAGAGGGGTGGGCACCACCACCAGGGAGTGTCAGGTCACCCTCCCTCTTCCCTCCCTCCCTCCTCCCTTCCTCCACTTCTCCCTTTTCCTCTTCCCCCTTCCTTCCTTCTCCCTCTTCCTTCTTTCTTCCTCCTCCCTACCTGTGTAGGAAAAAAATTCAGACTCAGCTTCTCGCAGTCTGTATTCACAAGACAGATCGCTTCTGTGAGCCCAAAAGCCATGAGGATTTCTTCCCACCAGCAAGTAAGCGATTCGTTCATTCAGCAGAGGACACCATCTGGGCTTCCTCTAATTCAGTGCATTTCTGACACTGTCTACCCAGAGATAGCATCAGATCCCACAGGCTGAGGGCTCAGTCCCTACGACTGTCCTACTTCAGACCTAGTCCCCAGTCTGGGTTTCCAGAACTTCTGGCCAACTGGCTACAAATTGGCTGGCTATACTTTCCCCAAGTTCAATTAATTTGCTAGAGCAGCTCACAGAATGCTTAAAAATACTCCATTTAGAATGTTGACAAGGGGGCTGGTGATTTAGCTTAGCGGCACAGCGCCTGCCTGACAAGCGCAATGTCATGAGTTCGATTCCTGCTACCGGAAGAAAAACAAAACAAAAAACCAAAGTATCTAATACTGAAATGTACCTCAAAAGAACATAGAATGTTGACAGGTTTACTGTTAAAGGTGTTTTTAGGGTGCAAACAAGCAGCCAGATAAAGAGATGTCTAGGGTGAGGTCTGGAAGGGCCTTAAGCACAGGAGCTTTTGTCTCTGTGGAGCTTGGAGGTGCCACCCGCCCGAACCGAACCTTGGATGAATTCTTCACCCTCCTATCAGCCTCCGTAGGCTCAGCTTGTCTGAAGCTCTCCAGACCCCGTCGTTTGGGTTTTCATGGAGACTTCATTACACAGGCCTGATCGAAGCATGGAAAGTTGTGTGGAAATGTGATCGGACAAACATGGGTCTGATGAAATTCATTAGCACTGAGAGGGAGACCAGCAAGGCTGGTCCGGATTCCTCCGCATCCCTTCCTCCTGCGCCTGGGGCCGCCCCTTCTGAGCAAGGCAGGTCAGAGAGTTTGTGATTAGAGTTTCTGCGACCTGCCCTGAGGAAAAGAAATTCCAGTGTCCATGGCCTGTCTTGGGGGAGAAAAAAAAGGGAGTGAAAGGTCAGGAAAAGATGAGGGAGACAGACAGACAGAGAAGAGAGACGGTCTGCCTTCTGAGGCCTACAGTACCCCAATATTATTCTAGTCACCTAGGAAACAATAAGGCCTGTGGGGTTGTAAGTCAGGAACCATGGAGGGAAACAAAAAAATGTGTATCACATCTGATAGGTTTTTCCAGTGCAGAGAGAAGTAAAACAGAATAAAATGCCTTTATTGTGGACGCGGAAAGGCCACAGGAAAGAGAAAAACGTGGCCTCCACCAATTTCTCGTGGGGGCCAAGGTTAAATAGCCCCAGGCTGGAGGCGGGGTTTAGGAGGCGCACTGCCTGACATGGCAGACCAGGAGTGGGTGGGAGCACGGGCGAAGGGAACAGGATTACAAAAAGGGAAGTAGGAAGTTGTAATTCGACTCAGGGGAAGAAGGGTGGGGCTTAGCACATGGCCTTTAGTGGCCAGCGCCATATTAGCTGGATGCCATGGTGACTCAGCACCATACCACATGGCCTGCAGCGCCATACTGGCTTGGGTGCCATAGCAACTCAGCAGGAATTACAGCGGGGCAAGAAACCAATCAACATCTCTCCCCTTCCTTCATTCCTTCCTGCCCCCTTTTGCTCCCTTACATCTTACCTATTTGTGAATCAGTGTATGACCAAGTCCTTATTTGGTCTCTTAGTTGTAGTGATATGCTAATAAATCTTCTTTTGTATTTAACTCTGCATATTGAATGGCTAGAACCATCCAGCAGGAAATATCCTATTCCTCAAGGCTTCCTCTTTGTGGATAAATGACTCCAATGTTTTACGGTTCATCCATCCTATAAATCTCTTTGCAAAAGCAAGAAGACATGTTCAGTTCTTCTTTTTTCCACAAAAGCTACCATGTTGTATATACTCTTTATTTTTGTTATTGAACATAACTCATGTAACCTAAGATGTATGCCTTTAGAGCGTCTAACTCAGTGTTTTCAGTATATTCACAGGATCATGCAGCTGTCACCACTATGTAATTCCAAAATATTTTCATCATTCCCCTAAGAAGCCTTGTATACACCAGCAGTTAGGCCCCACTCTCCCTGCCTCGGTCCCTAGCAACCACTAATCTATTTTCTGTCTCTAGGTCTCAACATTTCACATAAGTGGAATCATACAACATGTGACCTTTTGTGTTGGACTTTTTTTTCACTTAGCATAATATTTTCAAAGTTTATTTATATTATAGCCTATAACAGTACTCCATTCCTTTTTATTGCCAAATTATATCCCATTATATAAATATACTACTTTTTTTTATCTATTCCTCAGTTGATGAGTGCTGGGTTGTTTTCTACTTTTTGGCTATCAAGAATAATGATGCTGTGAACATCCATTTACAGGCTTCTTTAAGGACATGTGCTTTCAGTTTTCGTGGATATATACCTAGAAATGGAAATGCCATTTTATTTGGTAACTTTATTCTCTACATTTTGAGGAACTGCCAAACTGTTTTCCTAAGTAGCTGCACCATTTTCACTTTCATCCAAAATATGAGAGTTCTGATGTCTCCACATTTTCCTCATCACTTGTTATTATATTTTAAATTTTATTTGTCTTAGTAGGTATAAAATAATATTTAATTGTGGCTTTGAGTTGCATTTCTGAATTGCTAAAATGTTGACCATATTTTCATGTGTTAATTTAGCCCTTTATACACCTTCATTAGGGAAATGTCTGCCGACATTTGCCTTTTTATAAAACTAGCTGTCAGCTTAGTGTGGTGGGGCACACCTATAATCCCAGCCCTCGGGAGCCGGAGGCAGGAGGATTGCTGTGAGTGTGAGTGAGTTCAAGGCCAGCCTGAACAGCACAGCAAAACCCTGTCTCAAAAAAAAATTTTTTTTTAATTTAAAAAATTAAAATAAAATAAAATTAGCATGCTCCACACAGGCTTGGGGCAAAGCCAAAGAATGAGTTGGTAGAAAAGTTGAAGATTCCTATCAGATTGCCTCTTTCCATTTCTACCCTTCACACTGCCTGTCGCAGGGTGCGCTCCTACCCTCCTACCCTCCTACCCTCCTACCCTCCTACCCTCCTACCCTCCTACCCTCCAGCCTCAGGGCGTGGGAGTTCCTCTTCCCAGCCAAGTTCAGTATTTCCACCACCTTCTCGGTTCATTTGCTCCCACCTCTTTTGAAACCTCGCTTCATCGGCTGTCTTCTGTCCTTGCTACGCTTTCAACTTTTCCTTCTATTTCCTCTTTCCACTTATGGGTTCTTTCCCCTTCATCGGCTGTCTTCTGTCCTTGCTACGCTTTCAACTTTTCCTTCTATTTCCTCTTTCCACTTATGGGTTCTTTCCCCTTCATCGGCTGTCTTCTGTCCTTGCTACGCTTTCAACTTTTCCTTCTATTTCCTCTTTCCACTTATGGGTTCTTTCCCCGGTCTGCTTGTGGGCAGCTGAGCGACTTTCACTCTCTCCAGAAGCTGCACTGAATCCACTGGCCAGTCCCTCAGTATGACCTTCTCTTCTCACTCATGTTTATTGAAAAAATAGTTTGTAGCTGGGCATGGTGGTGCACGCCTGTAATCCCAGCATTTGGAAGGCTGAGGCAAGAGGATCGTTGCAAGTTCAAGACCAGCCTGGGCCACAAAGTGAGCTCAAGCCCAGTCTGAACTGCATAGCAAGACCTTGTCTCAAAAAGACCAAAAAAAAAAAAAAAGTTTGTACCTGTTCATACCCTACCAAGCTTTTCAGTATTGCCTAGCATCCTCTTTCACCACACACCTAGGGTTGCTCTCAGCTAAGGTCAGCAGTGACCTCCTGATTATCAAACCCAGAGAACACCATTGGGTCATTTGCCCCGACTTCCTTCTGCCATTTAAAGCCATCAACCACCCCCTGGTCCTTGAGCTCCTCTGTCTCCCCTCAGGTCTCCTGGGCAGTTTTATCCCTCAGATTTAAAACCCCCAGTACATTATCCATTTTCAAATCTACATCTTTGCATAGAGCTTCTCTCCCAAGCCTGAACCCGGGCATCCAAATGCCTGCTAGACTGCGTTTAGGTATGCCATAGGCACTACAGCTCAGCATGTCCGAAAGGCAGCTCCTCCTCCGTCCGTCTCGTTCTCCCGAGTTCTGTTTTTCACCATCAGAACAGTCATTGGTATTAAAACCCGAGTTTTGTCCTCAGTTCCTTCGGCCTCCGCGCCGTGGACTAACGCATGAGTCACTACTTGCCAACATCACGTTCTAAGTTTGAGTGTATACGAACTTAGTTATACGTCTTAGTTACTTTCACACCACTGAGACACCGCACCCAACACCCACAGCTTGAGGAAAAGGTTTCTTCTGGCTCACAGTTTGTAGAGACCCCAGTCCGCGGGCGGCTGGCTCCAGGACGGCGTGGCGGAGGGGCACGGCAGTGGGGAAGAGCTCCTGTGCAACGTGGCGGGAAGCAGAGAAACAGATCCAGGGCGGACGGAGGCCACAGACCCTCCCAGGCCACGCCCGCAGGGACGCCCTCCTGCCACGAAGCTTCACCTCCCAGCCTCACATTAGCTACAAACTCATCAATGGGCCGATGCACTGTGAGCATCACACCCTTAGGATCCAGTCTCCTCCGCAAACCGCACCTATGAGTGCGTGAGGCTTTGGGGGAGATCCCCGTATAAACCGTGACAGACCCCTGCTCTTCGTCCTCCCGGTCTTGTTCGAATTCTTGTCATCTGCCTCCCTCGTGTGACTGGAATGGCCTTCCGACTGGCCGTCACCCCTCTAAGTTCATGCCTTGCACCGCTGTTCCGCTGCCGGTAAGATCCGTCCTCCGCACAATGACCACAGCAGCTGTGTCTCCTTGAGTAGAACCCTTCCGTGGCTCTTTGCAGCCCAAGCAGCAAAACTCAGTCTCCTTAGCGAGGATGCAAGAACTTTCCTTCCCAAACCTAGCGCGCTATCCTTGCTCTTCCAATCAAATAAAGAAGTTTTAAATGCCATAAGCTTTTCATACTGTCTCGCATCTTCATGCTTTTGTTCTTTTGGTCCAGGAATATTTTATCCTTGCCTTAACATACCCCATCATTTCTTTAGGGGGCTGTAGAGGACGCCACTCATCCTCCCAACTCTGTTATTACATCTTCCAGGAAGTGTCCACAACTCTTAAAGTCGCTAAAGTGAATTTTGTGATTTCCTCATACAACAGTGTACTGTGAATAAAAAGATGGATGACTGATGGATGAATGACAGCTCCTCTTACAAGCGTGGAACAAGAGGAGGGATGGTGACGTAACAAGGAGGCATGATGGAGACCATGAAAGAGGATGAGAGAGGAGGGGGAGGAAGGGAAGAAACCGAGAAC